GCTGCCTGCCTCCCAGGTCTGGTGCTGTCTGCAGGATGGGAGGGGGAGCAGGGAAGGGGAGGGAGCTGGGGTTTGCCCAGCCTGCACTGGAAGGGAAGCAGGTGGATTGGACTGGGTGGGGCCGGGATGGGCTGCATCAGCCCAACCTGGCTGGTGTAAAGAAGTCAATGAACGTGCTTTGCTTTGGAATGCCTTCATCTAAACCCTCATTATATGAGGGTTGATTTGTTGCATGATCAGGCACTTTTAAAGAGCTCTGCAGCCTACAGGCATGGCTGTAGGGTGCTTTCCGGGGGCCGACTGCATGACAAAACATCGTATCTGTCAGCACCTCATGTGACACCATCTTAACTTTGTTCATAGTCCCACAGAAGTAAATGAAGCTATGGATGTAAGCAAAAGCATACTTGAACTGAAGGGGTTCAACAAGGTTGGGTAGAAAAAACTTTTGTACTGCTGTTTACACCATCGGTTTTGAAAACCGATGGACTGTTAATGGTACTTGATATCTGAAACGCTGCACGCAACTACATCACCATAAGTGAACAGCAAATACATATGGAGAAGATAAGATATGAAAGTGATACTGCACGGAGCACCTTCATAATGAAAGGATTGAAAAGTAAATAGCATTTACAGTGCCATTCATCTACTTGTAGCAAACCTCTGCCTCCTACCTATGCTCCAGCATGACTTTATATGTCTAATACGAATTGCCCAAGATAGTATGGGGAGAGGATACACATGGGAATTCTGTGTAGATTAGAGGAATCAAATATTCATAGCTGCAGGAGAGTAAAGGCTCTTTGAGGCAAAAAAAGAGAAATCTCAATAAGCTTTCTTGTCAGCACAGATCTTGCCAAGTAGAAAAAGCTGACAATTCAGAGCCTTATAATTAGTTATGCCTGCAAGGAGCTGCTTTTCTGGTACAGAAATTCTATTAATTAATGCTCCCATGATAGGAGGAATGTTAGCCATTGACTGCGGTGATGAATAACTCCATTTAGGACATGAATTATTTCCGATCGACCTAAAGTAACGGTAAGGCATAAATTTGATAAAACACCTTCATAAAAGCCATCTTCATCCATATCTCCATACACATAGAGGTATTTTCCTGCTGTAAGGGGGAGCTCTGCTTCTGGATTTTCATTTGGTCCATCAAAAGGGTTGTAACTGCAATGAAGCACAGATGGAAACTTCATTTAGTACCACACGTGCATTTAGTTAGTTGCATCCTACGCACCACTGAATAATAATCATGGAGTGCAGTTCCAAGGCTGTGCATGAGGGTAGCTCTACATTTCAATCTTCATGTTATACCCTTTGAAATATATGCGGTGCCAGTGTGTCTAGAGGAATTGGGCACCTCCATATATTATTATCATTATAATTATTTTCAGTGCAGTACCTCCTACGAATCTTAATCGTGGTCCAGGACCCTACTGTACTATGAGTTGTACATGCACACAGCATAAACAGGTAATCCCTACTTCAAAGAGCTTAATTAACCCCTACTTCCTACCATAGGCTCCTTAGCCCATGTCTTCCTTCATTCTTAAAGGAACGATACAATTCCTTGTGCAGGGCTTTTCCTAAGCCATTAGGATCTATTCATTTTCAACAGCTCTTCTCCATAAAGCAGTTAGTTAGAAGGAAGGTTGTGTCATGCTCAGATCACAGTTATTAGCCCACATAAATCCATCAGGTACTTGCACTGGATTGTGAGATGTGAAGCTGTATTAGCAGATGTAAATTTGCCATAATGCCTGCTCTTAGGTGGGCATCTAACAATGGGTGAACCTTTGCTGCTGTTGAAATTTTATGATGTCCGGGATGTTAAGACATGATATAAAGTCCACTGAAGTCAGCCAGACCCTTTCCATTGACTTCAATGGGGGTTTTGCATCAGGCCCTATACCCTCTGCCACAGTGATCCTCTTATGAATGTACATAGATTTCATAGATGTTAGGGCTGGAAGGGACCTTGGAAGATCATCGAGTCCAGCCCCCTGCCCCAGGGGCAGGAAGTCAGCTGGGGTCATAGGATCCCAGCAAGATAAGCATCCAAATTTCTCTTGAAGGTGTTCACTGTAGGTGCTTAAAGCACCTCCAATGGCAGGCTATTCCAGACCTTGGGGGCTCAGACAGTAAAGAAATTCTTCCTTATGTCCAGCCTGAAACGGTCTTACATGTGTAAAGAACATGCCAAAAAAAATTATTCCATGCCCAGGCCCCACCCTGCTTTTGCTGCATGAGGGTCTGAATCCAGTGCTGCTGACACTATGGATTTCCACATGTTTAGCACCATCACAACCAAGTCTTCAGTGACTATTGTTTTGTTAGGGGAGCTGTATCGCTCCTGGAAAACACAGGAAGGTGCAGTGAAACAAAGCCTTTTAGAAGGGGAGCAGTCTACTGCAGCACAGCACAGGAGCATCCTCAGCAGACTGGAGAATAGGATTTTTATCGCACCCTCCCCCTCAACTTGCAGAGTATGGCAAGAAGGCAAATAGAAAAGGTCTTGCTCTCTCCTTCAAAGTGTGGTCTTCCCCCAGCATTCCTATAAACTGTTTATAAATGCTCACATTAGTGCAATGATGCCTTGAGCAATCTAGAAGGAGCATGGTCAAAAGGAAAATCTGCTTAAAACTCTTGCCAGTTATAAAGTCAGAGCAGGAGCCCACTTGCTAAAGCAGCTGACTTTAGCCACATGGCAACTCTAAGCCTGCAAGCGCTCGGCATGCGCTCTCTTCCAAGAGGGCACCGCTCGCTGACATAACCCGCGAGTCGCCAGAATGAACTTCTTTGGTGCGCGTCTCTTGCCTGCACAGGCGCATAGAGGTGCTTAACGCTATTTCTTTATTTTACATGAGCCCTCAGGCCAAGAATTGTATTTAATTTAGTGACTCTAAACCTCGTTAGCATTTAAGGGGAACTACAGTGACTTATTTAACGCACTACTGTTCCTTGTTTGTAAACGGATTGAAATGTTCAAAATTTCCCTCAAATGCCCTCTAATTTGTATCCAGCACTACTGATGTAAATATATAAATACCGTATGAGCTTCACCTACAGGAGGAAGGCATAGCTGCCAATCCTGACCTCTTGAAATGAGGGGATGTTGCTATGCTTGCAAGAGAAATACTTACACAGAAGTCTAGTTGCACACTGAAATTGCAAGGAAAGCACAGACTATGTCTTCTCTCACAAATGCTAATTTTTAAATGCATTGTCTACACTAATTGGTTTGGGTTTAGGTTGTTTTTTAAACCTAGAAGGAAGGCGATCTTCAATCATGAAACATATGCGCGGCAATGGAATGCTGAAATGTAAGGCTTTTAATTGATCAATTAATCACATTTTAGTTTGCTAGAATAGCTCAGAGACTCATCCTCTGTGTAGGGACTGTTTTCAGCTGGATGTGATTTTCAGCACCTTTTGCAGAAATAAAATCATGTTTCTCTTTAGAGAAAGTCAGCTTAATTTGAACTCAGTATGAGCTCTGAATTCCTCTGGGCTCTGCACTCTGTTATCACAACTTTACATCGCATTGACTATTATACTCTAATGGGACTGGGTTTGGCATGCATCCTCATCCTTGCTAGCTATGTTTTTCCTGGGGAAATTTAGACTTGGTATAAAAGATCACAGGTCCAGCACACGCGAACCAAGCAGCACACAAGCTGTATGTTCACTATAGGTCCCTTTTCACTGAAATACCACATTTCTATAGAGCAGGTGAATGGGCGACCTGCTGGCACTGAAGACCGCATTATGGAGCACTAGTTTGTGCTTCTTGCAAGGAGGAAGGAAGATAGAGCAGCAAAAGCAGTTTGCTTGTGTTGAAAGCCTCTCTCTAATGATCAGGCACAAAGCCAAGATTGATATAATTTAGACTGCTGTTTTGACATAAATTCGGAAACTAACTGCAGCAAACTTACTGACTTTGCCAATTTTGATGTAACTGTATACTGATGGAGACCACGAAGACCTGGACCCTTTCGATAGATCATCACTTGCTCTTCCCCGAGCTCCCTTTTTCCCAGGCCAGCTGTTCAGAGAACGAGCCTGGGCGCAAACACTGCCCCCAACCCTCTGTGGGTCTGTATAACCCAAACGGCAATGGGGCCCGCATGGTTCCACTGTGCAGGAGGGGTCATATTTTCGGGGTTGTGCCATCCATTTGCTGGGGCTTGCAGCTGAATGTGGCAGGGGCATTTGTAGTCCGGCAAATCAGCCGCCAAGGTTGTGGAAGTGGCTCTGTAACTCAGCGGATGAGGGAATGTAATCCCCTCAATTCAGCTGACAAACCTCCATTGTAAAAAGCCCATTTATGCTTAGGTTCGACACATGGGATCTATGTATTACATACCCCTGTGGATAAAATTGAATTTTCAGCATAATACAACTGAATATCTGACCTGTAACGGGCGATGCAAAGATGGACTTTCCCAGAGTATCTCTGCTTTGAGGTATTGGCATTCCGTTCATTATCCATCTGGAAAGAAATAAAGACAACAGGATTTCACCCTATTGCTTTCACCATTTTTCTCACTATTTAAACAAGACTGAATACATACAAAACATTGCACTCCTCTTATCCGAGTCCATCCTGTTTGCCCTGGGAGCTAGTATTCTTACTAGCAAGCATGGGATTTGCAGGCCTGTCTTGTCCAATGGCTCGCACTCGTTTTTTGATTTCAGAGGTCACAACGCCAAGCCCTGCTCACCAAGCTTATTTTTCAAAGCCCCATTTCCATAAGTCTTAATTTACATACATTGCCCCTGTATTTGACACCTCGGAAAATGTAGCTGAAGATCTGTGAGAGGTTTTGCATGCACGACAACGTTACACCTAGAAAGGCAAGCCACGAATAATTCTGTTAAGAAGAGACAACTGAAAAATAATAGAAGGAGGGAAATAAATTTGACATGCTCTTGTTCTGGTCTATGCTGTTAGTTCTGCTTCCCTAGATCTTGTCGCTATGCTGGCTTTTCTGTTTGACTACTTCAGACTCTCTTTATGGAAGCTATTGATGAGTTTGGCTGCATCCGCTTCTTCCTAAACAGACCTTTAGGAGCTGACGTTCAGTATATAATGGCAAAAGCTGGAAAAGGAATTTTGCAGAATATCCTACATCATATTTTGTTTTCTGGCTGTGCCCCAAAGCATTTTGATGCAACTTCCAAAGGTTCAACACGAACACAGAAAACAGATACATTCACACAGTCTGTCCACAATTTGAACTCTTATATTTCTTTCCTACAATTGCATAAAGGGAAAATCAAGACTGTATCCAACAAGATGGATACAATACAACCCCTTCCCCTCCTTTCTCACTATTTGTTATTTCAGAGCGTCTTACAGAATTTAATGAAAAGTGATAGCCTTCCTATGGGGTTTTGAAAAAAATATCATCCTTTGTATATTTTTAATGGAGAATGAATTTCCTTTAATAAAATTCCACAGCAAGGTTAAGAAAATGTATATAAAGGATCTTATTTTCATGTAAATGTAACTGGATTTTAGAAGTATTTTTCTATTATAACTCTGTAAGTCTATTGGGTTTCATCCTTGCTCAATTCTACAGGATTTTTGCAATGGCGTAGTTGAGGCTATGCTTACAAGAGAATGAAGGCTAATGAGAAAAGAGCAATAACCAAATGCATTGGAGAACAATCACATTTCAGAGGATTTCCTGCTGGTCCCGTGGCATTCAAGGGCTGGCACAAATAAAACAGCACAAGGTTCTTGGCTGTATCTTTCCAATAACTCAAATAAATGCAAATATGATAGGAAGCTACATGGCTTAAAAGCTTGGTAATAAGTTACTGAACTGTTCACTTCCAGGTTACAGGCTCAAATTCAGCTTAGAAGAGTACCCTGGAAAATGATACTAGGTGATGAAATCAGTCCAATTACTAATGAATGGATTTCCATATCACGAAAACCAAGCAAAAAGCAGTCATAGCAAATGAAGCTATCGCATCTAGAAAAGGTCTGAGGGACGCTGGCAATGTTTTGTGTAGAGTCTTACTCTAACAGTAGATCATGCTGTCACTATGCCATGGACACATCATTATACAAGGTCTAACAGTGCTCAGGAAGAAATGCAATACCTTTCAGAAGAACTACAAAACAAACCGATGCAGACATCCTGCGAAGAAAGAGACATATAGGCAAGGCACAGTGTAGAACGGATCTTAAACTGTGCCCCCGAAAACTGGGATTTTCAAAAGCGCCTAAAGGATTTAGGCACCATGCTCACACTGACTATCTGACATGCAAACGCCTAACTCACTTTGGCTCCTTTAAAAATTCCTGCTGAGATTCTCATTGACTTTGTGCTCCTAAGTCATTAGGCACTTTTGAAAACCTCACCCCTGGACTCTTCCCAGTGCAGTTCATCACTAATGTATAAGATAACTGTCCCACTGGAGAGGAGAAATGTTCCGATGTGAAAAAGACTCACGTCTGAATCAAATCTGCATCTTGGGCTGCCGGATCTTGACCTGGATAGGAAAGTAGGTTTGACAGACAATTGTTCTGGTTTGTCACTGGATATCTGAAGGGGTCGTATAAACTCTGAAATCACACAACGACTTCCAGAAGGGCTTTCATGACCTGCCCATAAATAAAACACACAAGAGAATAATTGGTATCAATTGGTAACCTTGTTGATAGTCACGGCAGAGACACCATGGGACGACTGGCTCGCTGGGTGTGAAATACCACCTGATTCCTATTCATGTTCCTTCCAGAAAGGGGCCATGAAATGGAGCCTGGGGACCACGGAGGTCATTCACACTAACCTTTCCCATTCTGTACCTGTTCAAACAACTCTGGGTGAACAATTATATGGAAAGAGGAGAATTTAATACAAAGGGCAGTGTCAAGGACCATATGAATATGAGTCACAGCCCAGTCTTTACTGACTAGCTGGAAAAGAGGAAAGTTTATGCTATGATATGCCTTTATGTTGCGGCCAGAAACCTAAACATGCCTTGAAGTTATTCATCATGCTAGCATGAAAAATAAAGCCTCAACCTGCCTATACATACTATTTATTGGTAATAATCATAAATGTCTAACTTTACACTTCTAGTGTTGTACAAGCTTTAAGTTATTAAAGTTCAGCAATCTGTAAAGCAGTACTGTTCACAAGCATCATTTTCATTTACCCCATGGACCATTTAAATCACAATGGCAATAGATAGGGCCTTGAACTAAGTGAAAATGTACATCAGACTGAAGGTCCTGTTTCATTGCCAGGGAAGTATAGAGAGTATAAGGGAGTATCAAGCCATACTATGTTCATAGGTATAACATCACAGAAATTTAAGGTTTAAGAGACCTGCCCAAGGCTACAAGGTCAATCAATGAAAACAGATTGACTGATTGCTTCATGACCCAATTCTGCAGAAATATCCAATAGTTTTGTTCCTCAATTTGACCTTCCTAGATGAGTTGGATACCTATAATTCCCAAGAATATCAATGGTAGTCCTAGATG